GCGCCATTCTGCCCACGGTGAAGAACACGCTTGCTTGAACCCTCAAGCAGCATCGTCTGGGCGTCCGGGCGTCCCGTTAATAGTCACTGTTACAGTTTCTGGAACCCCCCACGCTGCTCAAAACTGTACGGGCAAGGGGGAGCCCGAGAAGCCATGCGTGGGGTCCCCCTTCAAACGGTGAGGTTCTTTTGAGCCTCTGCGCGCCTGGCCTGCCAGCCGCTTTCGAAATCACTTTTGATGCCCGACTTGTGTTTTGCTTTGTTCTTCGCCTGCCTGCAAGAGATTCGATAGCCTTGCGACATCTTCGTAGGTTCCATAGGATGGTCCAGGAGCAAGCTCAAGCCGCCACTCTCCACAACCATGTCGTAGCCAGCAGGCGTCAGGGCTTTTTTGTTGCTTGCGTAGCTTCTCTCAGATTCAGTGCACGACCGTCCAGCAGTGTCATCTTCCGGGTCGCAAAGCGGCGAGAAGCGTAGACAGACCCCTTTGCTCAATAGCTTCAGCCTCAGCTTGTGCAAGGCGGTCGCCGCCAGCCCGAGCATAAGCTTCTTCGGCTCAAGGGTCGTTGATCTCCCGCTCCAGGTCCTTTGCCAAGCAGCTCCGTCACCGGGCCCGTCAAACGCAGGAAGTCCTTGAAGGGTGACGTCTTCATTCTCATCATGCGCTGGCACGATTCCTAGTTTGGGCTCATAATTCCGGCGCTGGAGCCACGCGGCAGATCACAGCCGCACGATCCTTGTGTTACGCGCTGATGTACCTGCGTGAAAGGCTGTAGTTTGTGTTTTGTGGCTTCAGGACAGTTCTCGCAGCGGTTTTGGAGATGTGCTGGGGAAACACAACAACATTGCGTGTCTGCTCTTCCTCTTTGGGAGAGTGTGTGTTGGACCCAAACCGTTAAAATCATTTGAGCTTCAACCTTTCTGACAAGGCCAGGAAATGCCAAAGCGGTTTAGCTGGTTTTGCTATGATCTTTAAGGCGGATGGCGCACCAAAAGCACATCGTAAACACCGGTGAAACATCTTTGCCAATGAGGGTTGCAAGCAGTTTGGCCCCACCCGCAGTTTGGCCCGACCCGTTTCGCCCGACTTCCGTCTAAAAACGCAAGCTCTTCAGGCCAGGGAAGGCAATCGAAAGCTAGTGTCTGCGCAAGGGCGACGCTGGCTCGCATTTCGGGCTTGGCAGGGAGGAACTTCAAATAACGGACAACAGCAAGAGCGCTCGAACAGCCATGCGCCCGCCGGGCGAAAAGCAGTTTCAAGGAGCAATGCGCAAACACACCCACACACACACGGCAGAGTGAAGCAAGCGCATCAGCTGCAAGAACGGAGAGAGGCGTGGGCAGAAACGCCGGGAAAAGAGCGGAGCAAAGACCGGGCAGAAAAGAGTTGGGAAGAAGAAGGGGGGAGCAAAGCGCAGAACGGAGCGAAGAGTGGCGGAGAGAAAAGCGAAGCAAAGAGTGGGCAGAAGCCTTGCGGGCGGTCCAGGGGGGAGGAGTGAAATCCATCGCTACTCTTGGTATGGTAGCGAAAACTGTGTTTTTTGCAGACCCCCAGTAAAAATAGACAGAACCAAAAAAATACAAAACATGCCAAGAACAGTAAAGAATCAGTTAATGACTCATTTTCGATCACACACACACACACCAAGCACGGGCACCTGAGCATGCGCCAACCACACGGGCAGGCGGGCACACAGACACGCACCAGCTTGCGTCAAAACAGTTTAGGGTTTAGGTTTTGGTTTACGGTTTAGGTTTCGGCGTAGGGCTTAGGCTTTAGGCTTCGCGGTTTGGAGTCGGGTTTGAGTTTAGTGTCAGCACGGTTTAGGATTTTGGCTTTAGGGTCAACACGGCTCAAAGCTTTGGGTCAACACGGCTTAGGGTTTAGGTTTTGGTTCGGAGTCTGAGGTTTAGGGTACATGCCTCACAATACACACAGAGGGGATCATGGGTGGGTGGGTGAGCACATGTCATGCGCACATGATATGTGTGCAAACATATACCCACAAACCATGCTTGTCGCCCAAAAGATCGTCTTCTGCTCTCCGGGGAGGAGGGGGGGTTGGTTGTGTCTTGGGTAGGCTTCACTGTTCTCAGGGCTTTATGGATTTGGGGCTCTGCGGGTTTCGGGCTTTTAGGGTGTTTGGGGTTTAGGACCGTTTTAGGGCCACTTGTTCTTGAGGACTCTTGACAGCCGTGAGTTCCGGCCGGGGGTGGGTGGGTACGCGTGCTTTTTGGCCGTGCAAATGCCTCATGGCCGTAAAAATGCACAACGCCCACATAAATGTCCGGTCATTCCTTTGGCAAAAGTTGCGAAGTCGATATGGACCGTTGTCAATTTGGCATTGGCGTGCTTAACACCTAGACCTTCCTTGGGCGCATATTTTGCGCTTCTGTCCGTATCGAGCAAAACACATGCTCATGTTAGACTAAAACATGCTTGTCATGAAAAGCCAGCAAATGTTTCGATGAGAAAATGGTTCTGCTGTGTGTCCGTCCGCAAATTCCATTCATTTTCAGAAAATTTCAGCTAATGTCCCACCAGTGTCCACTCATTGTGCGATCAAAGCAACGTTTCCGCTCATTTCCAAATATTCCGCTGAAAGCCCGGTATACTCTTGCGGCATGGCTGCTTCAAGGGTGTATGTTTCTGCATGGATGGTCCTTGTCAATCGGTAGACAAACTAAGGCCTGAAGCCTGAATCATCAAGCACCCGAAACGCATGGATGCCCTATTCCTGCGCTGCTGCGCCCTTGATTCTGGCCTGTGCGCTCGAGATCCAGCTTCCTGCGCAGTCCTTGCACAGTCAGCGACTACACGGGTTTGTCCTGTCTTGAAAACTTCATTGTATGTACGATTCAAGGGGAGCAAACATAAAGCTGACAGCGCGGAGGGCTCTAAAATTTTGAGACGCAAACGCACCGCTGCCCAAGATTGCAAAGAGCAATGCGTTGCGCTCCGTGCAGCTGAAGCTCGGTCCAAAGGATCAGGGCCCAAGTACGCAGCCAGTCTGAGCCTGGCGCCGCCCAGTCAGCGGCTACCCAGCCACATGGAACTTGACAATGGCTCACGCGCAGCGCTACTTGCACACATCAAGAGCTTGGAAAAGAGGAAATTGCTGTTGCACAACATGGCGGTCAGCGTCTTCTGCTCAAGCAGGTGTCATGCTCAAAGATAATGGCACGTCGCGCCTGGAGCGGATGTTCTCGATATCCCACACTGGAAGAATGAAGCGCCTGGCGCGCGACAAATCGTGAGGGATTTATTTTCGAGCAACACCCAACCACCGAGCTGCTCCATGACTGGGTATTGCAGGCATGCGTTGCAAAACAGCCAAAGCAAGAACTCGAGCTGGGTAGACATCCTAACCACTTTTTAGACATGTTGGGATTGCACGATGAGAAACACACATCATCTAAGGGTTGATTCCCCATTCTTTTCAACCATCGTTCTTTTCAAAAACCAGCTGTTTCCCCAGGGTTTTGGATGGTATTTTAGAAGAAGGATTGAAAAGAATGGGGAAGGTACCCCTAGAAATCAACATAAACACAACTACGTTCAATTTCTACTTGGACCCGTGGGCACGTTGCCTTGGCCATGGGAGGAGGGTACCTGCAACACTTCCCGCCTTGGCCATTCCGGGCGCATTGCCAGCGGGCATCGCGTCCGGCTGAAGTCCAGTGACTGTGAGCGCCTGGAAAGGCGGCTGGAGAGAAAAGGGGCAACAAACAAAAACCAACGAAACAACGAAACAACGAAACAACGAAACAAACAAACAAACGAACTCACGAACGAACAACAACCAACAAACAAACCAGTATCTTTCCAACAAACAAGAACCAACGAAACGACAAGCACCAACACGATTTCTGCGCGGCTTCATTCCCTCGCTGCTCTGCCACAACTGGGAACCCATTGGCTTTCAAAAATTGGTGGAGCTCCTTGCGAATGGGAAGTGCGCAAGGTGGCAGATGGGCATGGCAAAAAGATTAAAGACACCCATTTGCCACGGAACCATTTTTTCGGAACTGGGCATGCCAGCCGGACAACTGGGCGTGGCAAATGACACCTTTTTGTTGTCTTTCGGAACAAGCATTCACCACCCAGCCCAGTTTCCCGGCTGCCCACCTTGGTGTGGATCTTGGGGTCGATGTGGCCTCTGAACGCTCCCCCAGATTCAACTCCCGCCGGTGCTGATAACGCTGCCAATTGGGCGCGGGTCGCCGCGTCCTAGGCCCGGCCAATGTGTCTTGCAACCCGTCTTCACTTCAACGCAAGAAAACAAAAGGCGAATGCAGATCATGCTGATGGGGGCCCTCGGCTCAGAAAGAAGGTGCCGTTCTTTTGGGAAGACTAGGTCTTGGGAGGGCCATGAGCCTTAGGAGGGCCATGACACTTTTGGCAAGACCTACATGTTTCTCATCCGGCGCGGCGGGGGAAGGGGGGGCTTTGGGCCAAATCTTTCGCCTGAATTCTTAGACCTAGGCTCGGTGAAGACAGTGGTGGGGTGGGAGCCCAAATTGGCGAACCCAAGCGTGGGCTTGTCATGGCCTTGAGCGTGCACTGCTGCTGCTAGCAAGTCTTTGTAGCTCATGTGGGTCTGTGTGTGCACACACAGATTGTCATCATGTGGCTGGCTGTGCTATGCTGAGACGCACGTCAAATGCCGTGAGTAGCAACTATTACTCTGCCACTGTTAGTGTCACGGCAAAACCCCCGATGAATTAGCAAGACTATGTCAAAAACATGAAGATCCCTGCCAGTATGTCCACTCTGCAGTTCGTTCCTTACTTGTCTCCAGTTTGTCTGCATAACTCAGTTGGCTCGTCTGAAACTCCCTCGCTGTGCACATCCTCACGTCATGCTTTGCCGTTCTGAGCCACGACCCTCACGACGGAAGTGCGTGAAACTGGGACACCCTGGGGCCACACTCTCATGCAAGGCTGTTTGGACTTGGTGCTTGTAACCGGTTCAACTCTCACACAGCATCTGCCATCCGCCTTCGTCTCATCACAGGCTGGTGCTGTGGCACTCGTGGCATCATTCTCCTGTGCTGGACGCAGGCGGCATTTTGGAGCTGATTGGCGACTTGCTTATGAGTGCCGAACATCTCAAACAAAACTCTAAGTGACGTATACGTCATTTTTTGCGCATCTACATTGAGCGTGTCCTTTCCCCAGCCCCACCAAATACAGCCCCGGTGGTCCTGACCCTGCGGCTTCTCACCTGAAGGCCTCAGCGTCAGCATGCCCTCACCCACAGGCCTCCATGCATCAACAGAGATCACCTATCACCTGATTGACCAAACTCTGCAAGAAGAAACTAAGCTGCGGTACTCAGCTTGAGCACCGCTCCCAGCCTGAAGTCCAAGTCAGCCAGTACATCAAGGAGCGATGCAGGTGTAGAGGGCCGACATCAGCACAGCACAGGCACAAGCATGAAGGTGCGCAGCAGCCTTTTTTGCAGCTGATCAAACTCCAGGGATGGCATCCTGAGTGAGGCCCCGAATGTCAGCACCACATTAACCCTCGCCAAGTGCTTGGACTGGCAATAGCGACGCAGGAGATTGCATTTGGCAAGGTGTCCGATTGCATTTGGCAAGGTGTCCGATTGCATTTGGCAAGGTGTCCGGTCCAGCGACAGCTGAGCCCCCGCCAACACAAGGGTCCCACACAAGGAAACACAACTACACGATCAAAGAAAAATTAGAAGGAACTTCCGTATGGTCGCTCAGTGTGTTAAGAAACCATATTAAACAAGAAACTGGACCCTCGCTTGGCCAGCAAGCAAGGTTCCCAGAGTCTTGGAGCCCCCAAAACCCGATAGTGTGCATCTACTAAACTTGCAGATTGTCAATGAGAAACGGGCACCCCTCAGCTGCAAACAGCTTCATCAAGATAATCAGCTCAGTCACGAGAGTGTAGAGGCCAGGAAATAGTCTGAACATGTCTGACCCCGCCCAAACAATTGGGGACATCGGGTGGGGCATCCTCGAGGTGAAGGGTGCAATTAGGTGCAACTTGCGAATGGGCAACAAAACGGCGCCACCCGTTTCAGCATGGATTCGTTCAAAACTTACGCAGCAAAGCCAAGACCCTCAAATAATTTACCACCAAGAGACTCGGAAAAACCTCAAATTTCATCTCTCCACGATAAAACTACTCCCGACAACGAGAAGTTAATTCTTATCACATGACCGTAATTGAGGCTAGCTCCCACTTGGTATAGGAAGGCAGTTGCGCGTAATCTGTCCGAATAGATGCACTTCAGGCAAAAAAACAAACAATTGAACCTGAGGAGAGGAGAGTGAAGCCAGCAAATTGCAACAAAAAGCGGCGTTTTTATTCGTACCCACTCGCGCGTGCAAAGCAGGCATCGTGGCAGTCTTGGCGCGTTCGCGGTGGATGGGTCGATCGAGAAGCTCTAGGGGGGACGAAAAAGTCGCTGCGGAGGGGTCAAGCCCTTGACCAGCCTCAAGCCCTCCAACGCCGCAAAATCGCCGCACACATGCTTCTGCTACGCCTCTAATCCCCCTTGTTTTTGCCACAGTTTGCTCGCACAATACTACTCAGCTAACGCCTTCCCCTAAAGAGTGCCCCAAGAGGCTTTCGTGAAAACATGAGGTCGGTCGCCACATCTCACGGAGGGGGTTGTGGAGCTCTTTTGATCCGGTTCGGAGATGAAAGCTCGTGTTTCTTACCGATCGTCGCCTCGTTTGCGCGACCCTCTGCGGACTTTCGGCGGGTCTACCCAACAAAAACTTGCAAACAGAAAGAGGCGGAGAGAGGGAGAGAGAGAGAGAGGGAGAGCGACAGAGAGGGAGGGAGAGAGAGAAAGACAGGGGGAGAGAACAAAAGAGAGGAGGGAAGGAAAAGCAAAAAGAAAAAGAGAAAGAGGGAGAGCAAGAGGAAGAGAAATACAGAGGGAGAAGGAGAAGCAAAAGAAACAAAGTCGGAGAGAGAGAGAGAGAGAGAGAAATAGTACAGAGCAAGAAGATAAAGAGGAAAGAGACAGGGAAGAAAATAAACCTCTTTTTTTGAAGACGAAACGGAGAAACACAGAAAGGAAGAGGAGGAGGAAGAGAAGAACAAAGGGGCCCAGAAAGACAAAGACAAAAAGAAAGGGAAAGCCAAAGAAAAGGAAACACACAAAGATAACGGGAAAAGGAAAAAGAAAGAGACAAGTAAAAAGAGAAACATATCAATATATACAGTAATAGGGAAAGAAAAGGAAGAAACAAGAACAAGAAAAGAAAAAGACAAAGACAAGGAAAATGATAAAGAAAGGAGAACGATAACGAGAAAAAACACAAATAAAGCGAGAGAGAGAGAGAGAGCGAGAGAGAGAATGGAAACCCAAGCGAGCTTCAAACTCTATATGGCTTCATGTTCTTGAAACTTCCGCCCCCGACTCCGCCGTCTTTACGGCAGTTTGGGGCAAGGGCTGAATGACACCCATGCACGGCCGGCAGCGGACACACACACACACAGACACACACACAGACACACACAGACACACACAGACACACACAGACACACACAGACACACACAGACACACACAGACACACACAGACACACACACAGACACACACAGACACACACAGACACACACAGACACACAGACACACACAGACACACACAGACACACACAGACACACACAGACACACACAGACACACACAGACACACACAGACACACACAGACACACACAGACACACACAGACACACACAGACACACAGAGACACACAGAGACACACAGAGACACACAGAGACACACAGAGACACACAGAGACACACAGAGACACACAGAGACACACAGAGACACACAGAGACACACAGAGACACACACACACAGAGACACACAGAGACACACACAGACACACACAGACACACACAGACACACACAGACACACACAGACACACACAGACACACACAGACACACACAGACACACACAGACACACACAGACACACACAGACACACACAGACACACACAGACACACACAGAACACACAGACACACACAGACACACACAGACACACACAGACACACACAGACACACACAGACACACACACAGAGACACACAGAGACACACAGAGACACACAGAGACACACAGAGACACACAGAGACACACAGAGACACACAGAGACACACAGAGACACACAGAGACACACAGAGACACACAGAGACACACAGAGACACACAGAGACACACAGAGACACACAGAGACACACAGAGACACACAGAGACACACAGAGACACACAGAGACACACAGAGACACACAGAGACACACAGAGACACACACACAGAGACACACAGAGACACACACACAGAGAACACAGAGAGACACAGAGACACACAGAGACACAGAGACACACAGAGACACACAGAGACACACAGAGACACACAGAGACACACAGAGACACACAGAGACACACAGAGACACACAGAGACACACAGAGACACACAGAGACACACAGAGACACACAGAGACACACAGAGACACACAGAGACACACAGAGACACACAGAGACACACAGAGACACACAGAGACACACAGAGACACACAGAGACACACAGAGACACACAGAGACACACAGACACACAGAGACACACAGAGACACACAGAGACACACAGAGACACACAGAGACACACAGAGACACACAGAGACACACAGAGACACACAGAGACACACAGAGACACACAGAGACACACAGAGACACACAGAGACACACAGAGACACACAGAGACACACAGAGACACACAGAGACACACAGAGACACACAGAGACACACAGAGACACACAGAGACACACAGAGACACACAGAGACACACAGAGACACACAGAGAGACACAGAGAGAGACACAGAGAGACACACAGAGAGACACACAGAGAGACACACAGAGAGACACACAGAGAGACACACAGAGAGACACACAGAGAGACACACAGAGAGACACACAGAGAGACACACAGAGAGACACACAGAGAGACACACTGAGAGACACACAGAGACACACAGAGACACACAGAGAGACACACAGAGAGACACACAGAGAGACACACAGAGAGACACAGAGAGACACACAGAGACACACAGAGACACACAGAGAGACACACAGAGAGACACACAGAGAGACACACAGAAGAGACACACAGAGAGACACACAGAGACACACAGCAGAGACACACAGCAGAGACACACAGCAGAGACACA